ACTCACTGATCATCCAATTTTTAAGGCATTTACTGAAAACAAAAATTACATACTTCTAGGTTGAGAAATTGACTCTTGTTGAAATGATTTTGATCCACCTTTTTTCAAAAGATGCGGGCTTCTGTCATATCGAAAGGCGAAACCGTTACCTTGCCAAAATCTGACTAAAATCCAATTCGATTCGGCCCATGCCCTATTTTTATATGATTTTAATAAGTTTGTAACCAATTTCATTCGACTTTCTTCTGGAACATTTTCCATAGCTTCTAATGTAAGTGGATTGAATACAAATCCAGCCAATGTCAAAAGTAATGTGCTCTTTGAATCTACATTTACTATACGAGGATCCATAAAATGATCACAAAGAAATTTAGCTATAGTTAAAAACATTTCTTGATAATCTGGAATTTTTTCAATATGTGCCGTTGGATGCATGTGATTTCGTAAACCAACGCATAAATCAGCTAATGCTTCCAAATAAAAGTCTGGTACAAAACTAAACATATTTCCTTCTAAACTAGCATTCATTAAAGTCAATGTAACCACTTTTAGAAGCCATGCTAATAATAATTGTTTCTCTTCTGAATAAACAGCAGCACGAATCCAGGCCATATGTCTTCCCTGTTCTATTAATTTGGTATTAAAAACATTTATCGATCTAGACAATTCTTGCTGAACTGTCTCAGATTCAACGTTTTTTTTTTTTGTAACTTCTTCTAGTCGTATTTTTAAATCTTGACTAGCAGAAATATATTCTAACATGCTATTCCTAAGAAAAGCCACTTTTGCTAATGGCTTTTTTGCTACTAGATGGTAGAATAAAATAATACTATCAAGTAGCTCAAGCAAAGATGTAGTCGAATCTACAATATTTACGGGTAATGGTGCCGTATCAAGAATTATTGATCTTCCTTGATCTAATGGATTCATATTTATCACTCGAACGAGTGCCATTCTAGTATATGAATTGGATGAATCTTGAGTCTGTTCCGTTGTAACAATTGCTTCATGTTCAGGACCTAATATCTGTATTAATTCATTCCTATGCAACTTGTTTAAATGAGATACTACACCACCCAGCCTTTCAATTCCCAAGTAATCGATTGATCCATCGTAAAATACCCTATTCATTTTAATTTATAAATTATTAAATGAATTAATATTAAATAAAAAATATTAAATTAAATAAAGATCAATAAAATGCATATAACATTAATTATATAAAATATTATAAATATACTTGATTGAAATTTACTTGCAAGGCACATAAATAGGAGATGTTCCAACTTCAGCATCCCATAAAATTCTGAATGCAACCAGAAGTCGATAAATGCAACATAGTGTAATCGGTGCCGAATTCTGAAGTTATTGATTATTCTCTGTAGAAATACTGACCAAACACATAATGCTACATAGAGTAATTTATTCATGAACAATTTATCAGTCTTCTAACTTACATTATTTGCTATAGGTACAAAACGTTTAAATTTCTTTAAAAATATAGTTCTTGAAGTTGGTCTCTTTTCATTTCCATCAGAATTATCAAGAAGAATTACTAATAATTGTACTTGCAATGTTTCTAATTCTGCAAAATATAAATATAATAATATATATAAAACAAGAAATGTTATATAACAAAAATATTTATTTATTGTTTGTACCAGAGATAGTAGCTTTAATTTGTTGACATGCTTCCATGTAACTTTCCTTATTAGCTTCAATCGTTAAATCTATAGGATCTGTTTCCCACCATACATTACTGACTATATCAATTAATCCTTTTCTATCTGGTGGTTTAACATTCAAGAAATTTGGAAGCCTTACTTGATCAAAAAGTAAATGTTGTAATAAATATTGTCGCGTCAATATATGTTGACAAATTTTTGTTAAAAGTAGAATACTTTTACACTGATCAAAATATTCAGATAAATAAGATACATGTTTGAATGCAGATAATAAAAAAAGGACGATAGTTTCCAAACATATTTTGATCTCATGCTCTTCAAGAAATGTCCACAATAAATCTAAACAAGTTGATAATAAAGAAGTAAAATTTGTTTTTGATTCAGAAATATGTTGCATGAAAGGGACTAAAATATCTTCTGTAATATATGGTATTGCAACTAAAGGTCCTATATGTTTTAAAATACAATTTGAAAGACACATTAAATAGGCTTTTACACTCATATTTTCATCAGACAACATAATTTCTTTATTCATATGCTGTCTTGTATTTATCTGTTCTATTATTTTTGAAAACCATTTAAATAAAAGCTTAGCTTGATGTATTTCTTGTTTTGGAACTGCTTGTAGTGGTTCATATCCTTCTAAAGGATAATGCATTGGTGTGCATCCAAAATTGGCTGTTAAACTTTCTTTTAATGCAAGACTGACTGTTGGAAAATATGCAAATCCAGTACCCATTGATATATTTTCAAATGCTCGTCCTAAATGTCTACCATTTCTATAAAAATCAACATATCCATTGTCTAAATCTATTGCACATCCAATAATATCTCCTGCAAGCCATGATTCTCCATATGAATATGTAGCCACATTCCATTTTCTAATACGATTTCCATCATAAGCATATGAATTAATAGTATCTCCTAATAAAAAGATATTACATTAAATGTATTTTAAAATTAAAAGATATTATTAAATAAAATTATATTATAATTATATAATTACTTAAATTTTTTTTTAATAAAATGAAATTAAATATTTCTAAATTATATTATCAATAAATATTATAAATATCAATAACATACCAACTCCAGATTCTTGAGTGAATTTACAATTAACTGTACTCCAACCAATTTGCATAAGACCTTTGGTTCCAAGTTGTATTTCATATAACCATTTTCCTTGATATACTGCTGTATTTGCTCTCATTGTACTAAAATTACTTCTAGCATTAACAGTAAGTCTATCAGGAGAAATTGAAAATAGTCCAAGACGTGATGATACATCAAATCGAACTATATCTGGTCCAATTCTGCCAATTCTACTGTCTCGTATATCTTTTATCGGAGCATCTTTTAAAAGGGTACTTTCAATATATTTATTTATCAAATCTAAACTATGTGACACTCTAAAATTTTAATATATATATATTTCAAAAATTTCATTATTTTAACTCATTCATAAAGAAATAAGATTGATAAAAATACCTTGAAGGTTTTTCATTTTCTTTACTAAATTTTGTATCATTAGGCTCTAAGAATACATCTGGCCCAAAGATATCTCTTATAATTTCATTAATTTCCATGTTTGAAAATCTTTATTGTTCGTCAGCATTGAAAATATTAAAATAAAATAAGTTTAAATGACAAATAAATTTGTTCAGAGAATCGCGTTAAAGGCAGTGATTTCGTTCGACTAGTTAATATATTTTCAGATTATAATAATTAACATTATATTTTTAATAATTTCTTTGATTTGTTTACCTGCAAATAGCATAATAAGTTATAGTAATTATCGAAAACTAACCACATTTTTAACGAAATCGAGCAATAATGTCAAAAATATAACAATTGAATTTGAGAAAAATATATCAACTATAAATGTAAATATTTGATATACCAATTATAAAAAAAATGTCCTAAATATGCATACCTGTAAATCAATATATTTTTATCATTTTACAAAGAACACATATGTATAACTGACATTAGCTGATATATCAGCTGTATTTATTTCTATTAAATATAAATATATTTTTCCTCGTTCGTATTTCGCGCTAGAGATACTGATGTAGGGAAAATTATTGTTTTAGAATATTTTTCTATATCGAATTTTGTGAAGTGAAAGTGTATACAAAATTTCGTTATTTGTTTAAACTACTGAATTCGCTATGTGTAGAATATTTTTAAAACATGAGTCGAAAATGAATGATTCCATAATCACAGCCTACTTTATACAAACTAAAGTAACAGTAAATCTGGCAACAGTGTTTGAATTCTCACTTCAATTTAAAAATATATAACTATAATTTAGTTACTTCAATCTCCCGCGAATTTATGAAATATTAATATTTAAAATATTTTGTTACAATAAATGATATAATGAATTTTAATATAATGAATATAATAAATATAGAATTAACTATAAAATGTATTTATTATTTAAATATTCTTTTTATATTATATAATTCAGGAATTTGTCATATAGTTTTTCTCCGATATTTAAATCACAAATAGTACAACCGTCCAAATATCTAAATATCTCTGTTTTAATATTTTGAAATCAAATTCAAGTTTATA